CATTCATGTTATGGGTATTTTTATACAAAGGAAATTTTTTTGTGCCTGTTGAAAATTAAAGTTTACTGACATAGCCATAAAAAAATGTTGCTTTATTTATCTGACCGTATTGGAATGTATTTGTTCGGTTTTCGGTCAATTAAATTTGGTTCAATAAACAATATGTGGTTATTTTTAAAATTTTCAATGAACATTCGATCAGTCCGGCCCTCGGCTTGCAGCAAAAATTTTTATCTGGCCCTCCGTCCATTTGACTTTGACACCCCTGGGTTAAAACTACTTCGGTGAGTGGCTACAGCACACTTTCAAGGTGTGACGATTCTCCTATCCGGGCTTCTGACACACCCAGCATGTGCAACCGTCAAAGAGGCATGTTCAGTCTAAGGATGGCCCGAATTACCTGATCTTGGTTTTCTTGAGATGTGAATTCCATAGTAGAGTTATAACAGATTGAGATTTTATATTATAGTTCATTTTTATTTCGTTTTGACTTTTGTTTTTGTTTTTTTTTTCAATTCAATTAGCTTTCATAAATTTTTCAAGCATATTTGCTCATTTTAATCAGTTTTTATTTTTGTGATAATGTTTTGTCTAATGTTTTATTCGTTTTGCGATTAGTTATAGGTTTTTTTTTGCAGTTAAAATGTCACTTACTGTGTGATAAAGCAAATCCCAATTCTCGACTTCTCAAACTATTTGAGAAGTCATTTGACTGAAGTCATTTGACTGAACTGAGTTGACTGACCTGTGCTGACTGCTGTCTTTCCTGTAGAGGGCGCTCTGCACCACCTCTCTGAGCCTCTGGAGGAACAGAGCCACACTCGGCTGTCTTGATGGTAAACCCAGCTTCAAAGCTTCTCGCTCCTTGCACAGCTCCTCCAGCTTTTTCCCAAATCGCTCAGCTGAAAAGACACACACAGGCCCAATGTTGAACTTCAACAGTGCAGTCATGCCAGAAGGTAAATGAGGACACGACATGCAAGTGTTCTTTTGCAGAGTTTTGCTGGTATAACAAGACTGCTGCCAACCCAGCTAAATTCATGACTTGGTTATTTGCACGCTGTCCCATTGGGCTATCAACATAACTGATTATTTCACATCTATAAACAAACACCACGTCTAATCTCTGCAGCACTTAAACAATGCACAGTGACTTGTAAACAAACATACATTTGAAAATACAGAAAAGGTACTGTGCAAAAGCCTTTGGTCAGCAATAGCTTTGTTGTTTTAATGACCTTTTTCCCAGCAGTCAGTCAATAGAATAACGGAAATTGTTCCTAGAAATGTGCAGAAATGTATCCTACTTAAGAGAAGCTATTCAACTTTAAATTCTTGAAATAATTTCATCTAGCAAGAAACTTACATCCATATCTTTAATACGCACATATAAACGTTTGGACCCAGTGTGTACACAATGTTCAGACTGGACATTATTTATCCCTTTTGGCAGGAACATGGCGATTTTTTTCCCAATGTTCAGACCTCCTTTCACTAAATCTAATCAGAAGAAACAATTACAGCAGAAAGAACAAATTGTGCACACAATTATGACTATAAATATAAACAAGATATTATTTCTGTCCTTCTCCAGCCTGCCTTATAGGCTTGCCTACGTATTGCCTGAAAAGTTCACCTGCATCATAGTCATCATCCACGATGGCTTTTTGCTGCAATCTCTGGAGCTTTAACATCATGGACTCAATCTGGAGAAGAAACACAAAATCAAGACGGAGAAAATGACTAAGCGGTCCAGCGGACAATGCCTTTTCATCAGTCAGCGAAGGGTCAAAAAATGGTAAAAGGACAACGACCAGCAGATCACAGTGACATAATGAGGATGAAATCAATCATATTAAGAGATTCTCTCTCAAGAAATGGAAACTTTTCATTGTGGACTATGAAAAGGATGGTATGGTTTTGTGTGCAAGTTCCCTTTGCTTAATGTCCAGTTGGAATTTGGAACGATCGTGTCAAGATAATAAAAACAATAATAGCTATCATGTAATAGTTACAATGTTTATTTTAGAGTATCTCATTAACATGGGAAAGTTGCGAAAGTTGTATTACTGTAAATTAAATCCATATTTTGAGGAAATTAGCTGACTATGCTTGTATTTGTTGGTTTGTTTACTGTATGTGAATTGGAACTATCAACAGCATTTAGCTCATCTAAGTTTACCTTAGCATGAGACAGTAGAGTGACGATGACTCACTCCGAGTCTATTGCTACCTTCAGCTAAGACTAATTTGCCCCTTCCCAAACAGCAGGTTACCAATGCCACTGCCTTCAAAGTAATTTGACAGGAAGTTGACAAATGAAGCCAAATAACGTTTGTGGCGAAATTAAAATTTAGGAACGTTTGCTATGAATATTCCATTCTTCCATTATCCAAACCGCTAATCTTCACGAGTAATATTATCTTACATTAGTACTTTTATTGTTACAATATTGTCGGGTAATATTTTGCGAGACTTTTTTGGTATTAAAAGATGCATCCTGATAGTAGGCAGTGCCTTGAGGATGGCATTAACAGGGCTGAGTGTCACTGCTACTATTGACGACAAACTTGATCTTCAATCACCTTATTGTGCGTCCGGTTGTTATCGAGACAGTCTTGCAGCACGTGGTCGTACTTCTTCATCAAATTGTCCCAGCCTTGGTCAGAAGCAGGTGTGGTGCTCTCGTATCCCGATGTGACTGACGATGCAGAGGCGGTGTCTGAGTCAATTGACAGTGAAGAGGTGATTTCTGAATCCAGACACTGGAAGTCGCCATCGGGCAGGTCAGACGACACCTCCCTGCTGCCCCACGCACGTTCCCCCCAAAAACGGCCACCGAATGCGGGTGTCTCCCTTTCTTCATGGCTGCTCAGGACAGAAGTGGATGTGACCTTGGTGGAGGGTTTTGAGTCAGGTTGATCAAGAAACAGCGATGCTGGTTTAATTTCAGAGGAGTTAGGTACTTCTGTGGTTTTAGGTTCCGGGCCATGCGCTGGTGTTGCAGAAGCAGTGAGAGACTGTTGAATGAAACTGAAGCTGGAATGGAAAGATTCTTCCGGGCTAGTTGAAGGCATAAGTATTGGACAGCGGTTTAACGTAAGTTCATTCTTTGGTTGGCTGGATGTGCTACTGAGGGCACTGTCATTGGTGGAGGGAGTAGGAATGTCCTGGGAATTTTTGTTAGGTTGTGCAATTTTCATTGGAGACATTCTGACAGCAGATAATAGACTTATCCCCCCAGTTTGACATCCACTTGTCCCATTCCTTATACAGATTGCCCCATCTTCTGCTTCCCCCTCATCCTCCTCGTGCTCCGGATCATCAGTAGTGCTAAGTGGTCTGGATTGCTCCCCTCTCATGTAACCAGGCCTCCGGTGGAGCCTCTTACGGCCGACGCTGCCAGCTGTCCCTGAGGCTCTGCCACCTGTCGATACACAGATTAACCATTAAGCTGGACAACACGGTCAAGAGGAAGATAAAGAGTGGCTCAGAGACAACATCGAGGACACGCTATGTCAGGAACATGTGGAGCCTAATTGTCAAGAATGCGAATTCACATTATTGTTCAAACTAAATTGGGCATTTTATGGTCAATGATGGGACCGTTAACTCCAGTAAGGATTCATATTTGAAACGAAAGACGTAGCCAAATGTGTGGCAGTTCCCAGGGTTCTCTTCCAGCTGTTGGGAAATACCAAAAACATACAGTCATTTGCAGCTGAGCCACACCTACGCAGGAAGATGAGACATTTAAATGTTTCTTGTAAAGCAAGGCCGTAGAACACAGGTTCTCAAACTTTGTTACTCACCCGAGACCTCTGAATCAAGATACAATACTGTCTTCCTTTTTCACTTTCTGTATATATAACAGCCAAGTGCCCCAATACTTTCTCTCCTATCAGAGTGAATAACCATATCCATAAAATGTGAAAGTCTGACAGAGGTAAGATAATCTTGAGTTCATTGTTCAAAAAATATTGTGGCGTTTTGTTAAAACTATTGCTTCAACAATGCCCTAGCTTATATATTATACAGACATTTTTAAAAATAAAGACCATGTTTCCCATTATATCCGTCAATTGTATTCATCATTGGTAGTACCATCATGAACACAGTTTTAGGCCGATTTTTGATGACGCATCCATATTTTCCTGGCTACGGGGTCAAAATGTGATCACCACACAACAGGATTTAAAACAAATCACTGGTCTCAGTTGTTAATGACAAAAACCTATGTTTGTGTATGGACCAGGGATGACCAACCGGCAACCTGTGAGCCGACTACACTCCGAGTGGCCCCATGATTCCTCACATACCAGTCACTCAGTGTAACTGACCTGACCTGAGCTATTCTGTTTACAAAATCAGGGGTCTATGGGAATCCTAGCCAGCTGGGTTTTTTTCTCCTTTCATCATGGGCCCCTAATGGCATCTGGGCCTTGGTGGGATCTGGGCCTTGGTGCATCGCGCCGGTTTCACGGTCGTTATTTACGCCACTGTTCAGCAGTTTTGTGCCATCCTTGAATGGTAATTTTTAAGGAGGAGAGCCCTTTGCTCTGGAAAAAAGTATTATATATTACAGTTTGTGGTTATTTTGTTGCTTGCTTCAACGCCTTTGTTGTTGGGTTAGGATAGTGTGTCTTTTATACATCAAAAGTGAAATACATTAAGAACATGTATTTTGTCCAGATTTAAAATAACGTTTTTATGTGAAATGTGTGGTCCAATGTGCCCCCCGCCCCAGTAGCATTGATGAAAAACTGTGGCCCCATCCAGCATTTAAATAGCCCATCCTTGGTATGGAAAAAAAACATCCAAAAAAATTATCAAAAGGAAAAAATTGTCAAATGGGTAAGCATGGCCTTCATCTGAAAGAGGAGCGTGATGAATAGTGGCTTGTCCTGACACCTGCTCCACATGATTATCCATGTTGTGTAGGATTCAGCGACAGACACAAGCTTAAATGACAAGAATCAACGGGCTCTTTGTGTGCAGCTGGACTCCTCTCTTTTATTTCGGACTTCTCAACCCAGTGCCCACTCTCACACATTCCAAAGACATGGAGGACACACTGACACAGACTTTGGTGCGGGATACAGAGGGGGCATTCTGTCATTGCAAAACACTGCTTGAAAACTCAACTATAATGCATTTCCAGAGCGCAATGCCAATTGGAAGTGATATGTGGCATTTATATTGATACACTCTAACTGGAACTATATGGCAAGTTACTACAGGCTTTATAGGACCACCACTGCACAACCCCGTGACCCTCACTCCCAATGACGTCAATGCCCATGTGACTGTTGGGAGAATGGGCAACAGGAAGCAGCACTTAGGGGAGAGTTGGGATATTACACTGAAATCAGAGCGCAAGTAAAAGGTCTTGCTCCCATTGTCCTCTCTGTCCACCGGGACCTCAAACTCAAGCTCAGGTTACGGCGTCTTTGGAAACGTGGCCACTGCTCCAGAACCATTTACGTAATTCAACACAATTCTCGAGTTATATTATCTACTTTGCTGTTTGTAGTAAAAAAAAAAAAAAAGAACCACAAAAGAGCCCGTGTATTAAAAGGGGAAGGGCTTTTGATCTCCGTAACACAACCATACTTCGATTACACAAAGAAGGTTCTTTCCAGCAAAGGGAAGGAAATGCCTCAGGGCCTCTTGTGTGTTGTACGTCTTTGCTAAAGCCTTTTGGAGTTATGGTATTCACTTTTTCCTGCCAGGATTTGAGCTAAAACTGTCTGCCAGGAAGTGGAAAAGGAAGACACTCGCCACAAGTGACTTCCAGATGAGCAAAAGTCTCAGTGCAAGTGAATGTGACCAAAACAGTTGTTGATCACTGTGTTTCGGATAAATGGGGCCTGATTATTTACCTTTGGTGATAAAAGAGGCCCGCTTTCCAGGCCTCAAGTTAAACACTGTGTCCCATTGGTTGTTTAAAGTGCTTAAACCAAAGAGGGGAGGAATGCAGAGGATCTCGTAAAAAAACACAGACGTTTAAGGAACAAGCCCAGCAAGACACACATCAGCAGATCAGAAAATCCACATGTCAGCAGGCTCCTGAGAAGCAGTGTGCCTCTGCAGATGTGCGACACCACACCACTTGTGACCCCCAAGCACCCTGCTTGTCTCTGTCTAACGATCATGGCGTGTGATGAGGCTTTCCTCCAAAATCAGCTCCTCACTTCCTGTGTGGTCACATGAGGATCACAATCTTGTCTGATTTGGGGTAGTGGGCATACAAAGCACACACACACACACACACACACACACACACACACACACACACACACACACAAAAAGTGTTTTCTATTTGTTCCTGTATTTCAGTTGAATATTTACATGCCATTCTCACAGATGTGATGTTGAAAGATTTAGTTTAACAAGAAAACAATTAAGCAAAATTAAGTGGTTCAATCACATTGTGCTGTATGAGTTAGTAAGTAAAACTAACTCATACAGCATACATTTATGTGAATAAAGGAGTTAAATATTTCAATTCAAAGTGGGTGATATCGTTGGATGGATAAAACAAATGTAGATGTGGGTCTTAACTAGATCTACAAGGGAAAATATCAATAGTGCTGTGACTAAATAAGGAAAGGAATTGACATTTTCATCATGCACGCAAAAAGAAAAGGGCACATATGATAATATAATTACACTGTGGTCATTTCATAGTGGTTAGCACGTTAGCCTCACATACTTCTAAGGTTCATTTAAGGCTCTAAATTGTCCATGTGTATTAATGTGCCTTGTGACTGACTGGTGACTAGTCCAGGGTGTACCCCTCACCCCACGCCTAAAGTCAGCTGGGATAGACTCCAATTATCTGTGACTCGAACGGGGACAAGCGTTATGGAAAATGGATGGCAGCATGACACTTTAAGGGGCAGAACAAAAACGCTAATAACTTATAAATATAAAATAAAAATAAAATCCTGCCCTGTTATCAACAAGTAATAAAATGTGGAATTCTGCAAAATTGACGGGTAAGATCAGCCTTTCGCTTGCAGGTCAAAAAGTAACTAAGTGTGGGAGGAAGTGTATTTGAATTGTGACACTGGGATGCCTCACACAAAAAAAACTGACACACAGTCTTCTGAGATGGACAGTAGTCACCAATTTCTTTCCTTCAATGTATAACCTACACTAAAGTTTATAGATGTTAATGACGGTCCAAGACTAACAGTGTTCAAGTATGTTGTAAAAGTCAAGGATCAAGTCTATGATACTGTACTAAAACACCGGTCAATACATTTTGACGATAAGTTCCAATCAGCGATGCAAACAAACTTTTCTAGATTATTTTTTTTGGGTGGTGATTCAGAATCTGCCCTCAATTTTTCTCGAGCACATCAAATTTTCATAATTCGTGAATGTTCCTCATAATATAAGCATGATAACATAACATTACATATTTTGTACTATTTATGAATGATGGGTTGGGTTCATTTTTCTGAAATGTCAAAGCTTTAAATTACAACACATGGTAAACTCCGTATTGCGCAAGCTCCTATAGAACAAACTCAAAAACAAAAAAATGAAAATATCTAAAAAAAATTCTAATGTGCTAAAAAAAAAGACACTTTTTAAATCAGTTTTGTTACACATTAAACCCTCTGATTAATATATGCTGTTGCGTAGTATAATATATTGTACTTTTTGTTTTTGCATGTGTAAGTTACTGTAGGAACCAGTGAAATGGCTTTGACAGTACACGTTACAACACATACAGTACATCCATTCATCCATTTCTATAGTCCTTATGGAGGTGCAGATGACCTGCAGTCTATCCCAGCTGCCTTTGAGTGAGAGGCTGAGTACACACTCAACAACCATTCCTACTCACATTCACAACAGTCGACGATTTAAAGTCCTCAGTTAACTTCACCAACATGTTTTTGGATTGTGGCGTTAGGCCACAGTCCCCGCAGGAAATTCAATTAAAAAAATTCCAATCCTGAAGCTCACAACTGTGAGGCAGACGAGCTAACCCAGAGGTATTAAACTCATTTTTGTCATGGGCCACTGTAGTAATGTTATGTTGTTATGCTGTTATGAAACCAAATAAATGGACTATAATCGCCTCATCATGTTACAAGTAAATTACATGAATTGATGGATGACTGTTTCAAAATCGGAAGTCAAAGAAAGTTGTTTGACAAGATTTGCTTTTGGTGGGCCACAAAAATTTGATGTGGCAGGTCAGATCTGGCCCCCAGACCTTGAGATCGACACCTGTCTGATAACCCCGGTGCTTCCTTATGTGGCATGTCCATCATAGAGCTAGCCTTGTGGGTCATTAGGGTCGCAGGTAGCCAGAAGCCTTTCCCAGGCAAAACGTGGGGTACTGTGGTATTCACCCGGATCGATTGCCAGTCAATCGCAGGCCACTTTTAAAAAGACAACCATTCACAATCAGGTTCACAGACTAACTATTAGAGTCTTCAATCAATCTAACATCACATGCATATTTTTAGAATGTTGGGGGAAGGAAGGAAACATGCAGAAGCAAACCATTTCAACAACGAACCTCAGAACTGTGGCTTATATCTACTAACCACAAGTCCACTGTGCCACTCCTTATTGTATGTTAGCCTTACATGTATCTGAATTCTGTTATTTGACTTAAAACAAAAAATATATATTTTACCTTCCACAAGTCCTTGGCCGTGGTGATGCAGAGAGTTGCCGAGGCATTTCAGGCCCAACAATCCAGCAAACATGTCCCCGTTTAGAAGAAGCCGACGAAGTTGATGGTCCAACAGTTATGTGACGTCCAGCAACTACGCGCTGACACGAAGCATGACTGAGCTCACTTCCGCTGTGGAAAAATCAAGAGACGTCTTTGTTTAAAAACTACCGACTGCACAGCGCAACTTTCTACCGCCAAACGCTGATGATCCTTGGTAAACATTTGCACAATCGGAGGGTTTAAGGGATTTTTTCTGATGCAAACGAGTCGTTCAGTTGCGCGTGAGCAGCTGTCAATGCAAAGGGAAAAAAAGGATGATATTCCAAGTAATAGCACTGAAATATCCGACCGGGCATAGAAAGATGAAGAACTGGACGAGTTTTGCTTGATTGTCGATCATGTGGATCATTTCTAAATCGATGGGCGAGCGGTCCGTTAGTCACTGCCCTGTGTCGTGTTGGAGCTCCGACGCGGTGAGGAATTTGACTCCAGTCTTCTTCAGACCGCCTCAATTCTGCAGCAAGCATCCTATGAATGTTGGGAGACGCATCGCCGCATTTCACGCTCTTTCCACAAGCACGCACACTCACGGGTGCGCGAGCAAATACACGCACGCACAAGCAAACACACACACGCGCGCGCGCAAACACGATTTGAGGAAATCTGTTATATCAGAAGTACAGTATGTATCAAACTGGTAGCCCTGCGCATTAATCAGTACCCAAGAGGTAGTTCTCACTTTCAAAAAGGTTGGTGACCCCTGCTGTAGAGTGTATATAATGACTCCTAACTGTATAGTTCAGATTGACGGGGAAAAAAAAACTGCCTAAATGTTGCGAACAAGGAGCCTGTGATATAAATGAACTACATATCGTTTTGCAGTAATGATGAAGAACACAAGAAAGTAGACAATCAAATCTTTTTTTTTGTCCCCTTTCCTTTCATTCCGATTGCCTGCAGACTGATGGACAAGTCAGCGATGAAAGGCTCGGGTTTTCAACCCAACAGGTGCTGCTTACACTCCCTGGCCACACTGTGAATAAGGAGATGTGGGCCATGCCAAAAGAAAAACTGCACTCGCCTTGCATGTTGTCAAATCACCTGCTTTGGAGATTAGAAGCACTTAATGTCATTTGGCAAGCAAAGCAGCTAACTGGGTACTTAGAGGACACCTCATGACCTGAGAGGTTATGGAGTTTAAGTACTCCAAACAGAAGGCATCACAACATAACTAATCCCCACATCCAATTGCACAAAAGATGATGGATAGCGTGATACTTCCCAGTGAAAAAAGGAACAATTTCTCAGAGAAAATAAACAATTTCATTCATTTGTATGATTAGACTCAGCTGTCTTTGAGTCTAAGTGGTCTTTTAAATTCTGCCATGGTTTTATTGTTGTTTTTTGGTGGAGCGGGGGCAATTAAAATAAAATTTGTTTCTGCAATTACATTATTTTCTTCGGAAATGGAATTTCTTTTGCGCCTGGACATTTGCATTCAATGGCCCATAGGAGCACCTTGTAGTATCCTCACACATCCCAAATCAAATTTGAAAGAAACACCAATGTTTTCAAACAAATTTGATTTGTACTCGTTAAATGAACATCATGCAGCGCTGGCATTGGATATTGCTGAGGGTGGCGGTGTGTACCTGAAGGCTTTTATTTATTTTACTTAATGTTGGAGCAGCATTTGCACAGGTCATGAGGATAATAAATTAAATCACCTAAAATACAAAGTACTGATATTCACCAGCAGATGGCAGACTTTATCTTTTTTTCTCCCACGCTACCGCATACATACCCGACAAAAAAGGAGGTGGAAAAAATGCATAATTGGATAAAGACCAAAGCCATCTATCACAACACATGTACCTTAATTCATACCCATTTCTTTTTAAGGTCTGCAAGTCCTCTGACAAATGCATAAAAGTGAAAACTCCAAACATATGCTACTTTGAGCAATAGAATATACAATAGTAGCTGAATGAACACAAGGGGTGCTGTAAGTGTTTCGTGGGTATTTAGATAAGAAAGAGAATGCAGGGGTGTCTTGACATATGTATGTGCATACGTGTATATCAGGTGGCTGCCAGAGAATGGGCCTGAACAAAGGTCACATGCTCTACCTCAGATTATCTGAGTGTGATAGGGAAAGGGGAGGGCTGAGAGCGAAATAAAATAAACACACAAGTTATCAGAGAAACCTAAAGTCTTGCAAAGCATGACACACTTGCTGCAGAACTTGCATCCATCGAAAACAGCTGCAGCAGTAAGATTTTTAGAGACAAAACACATTGTCGATTATTTTAACAACATTTTATTGTAGTATGACAAAGTAAATAGTGTTGTTAAACATATGAGAGCCAATTATGAAGTGGTTCAAACTTTTACAAGGGTTAAATAAAAGGGAAGGTTGTAAAGAACCTAGACCACAGCTTCTTCTGGGTCCATGTGAGTGTTCCGGCTGGAGAAGACGTCGGCCAGCATATGTTTGGGGATCTCAGAACCACGAACTCGGAGGGTGTAGCAGGCGTCTTCCACTTTGCCCAGACTCTGACGGAGAGTGTGCAGCTTCTTGGACACCTCATAAGGGCCCGTGTTTCCGATGTAGGAGAAACCGTCATGGATCTGGCGCAGGAACTGACTCAGCTGGAAGGGTGTGTCGATGTCCCCATTACCCACACTACTAATGCACAGGCGCATCAGCTCTCCTGTCAGGTCGGCCACACCCAGCAGGTAGTCTGCGGGCATCACCTGGAAAGTTATCACGTGTGGTTCTGATGACGGTGTGTCGGCACAGCCCTGAGAGAGCACAAGGGAGTTAAGTGGCATAACTATATTGTGAAAAACCTCTTCCAAGAAATAATGGTGGGTCATGGTAATGTCCCTAAATTTCTGTAAATCAGACTTTTCTCTGTGACAAATGAAGCTAAAATAATGTAACACCTTCTACCTTGGCTTGTTTCTTTTTTTTTTTTCTTACTTCTCTCTCGGAAGTTTTTACTCTGCACAACTGAGGTTTCAGCAATTTCCAAAGATCTCAAATAAGACATGAATGAGAGAAACAACACAATGCTGCGAGAAATGAAAATAGCCAAGTTTGTATTATTATGAGTAGTATATTTTGACACTTTGATGATCATTAAATGATCTATACATTTACAAAACTGCAATCAGTGAAATTTGGAAGAACTCATGTGGTTACCATTAAAGCTAGTACCAATTCACACCGATCAAAGATGTCCATTTTCTACTATGGTTATGCATTTCAATGGCACAGGAAAGCTGGCGTGACTTAAAGTAAGAGGCGGGATATTCCCTGGACTAATCACCTGTCAATCGAGGAGGCAACCATTCATCACATTTACACGTATGGGTAGCGTAAAATTCAGGAAATGAAAACCTCCGTTTTTTTAAGCAGAACCCACAAAATAAAGCGGGGAAGAGAAATCTACCCCCCCCACACACACACACACACACAGTCACACAAACTGTACATACGCATACAAGAGATTTCAAAAACTGCCAATATTACTGTGGGACGTAACCCAAGTGGAACACAGAACCAAAACTACTGCTTGTGCAATGACAAAATATGTACAACAAAAAATAAGGTTCACAATCTTCACTGGTTGATCGCCTTCCAACTTTCAGGCTGCATCATAGTCATTACGTCATGTTTATAGCATGATGAGGGTGCACGCCTCAGCAGATCTGAATATAACATGGGTGCAGATCTGATACCACATGGAGTTAAAACTGAAAGAAAAAAGTCGCAGTTTATAGTCTAAATGTCATGGCAATTTCGAGACTGCAATACACTTGACCCGAATAATACCTACGCAACTTGAGAGAATGCCGCGAGGTCCTCAAACCTTTGTGCAGCAACAAGCCGCTGTACTACCAAAACCAAATGATTTAAACTTGGTTTAGATATACCTCATCTCCTGTCATGAACACCAGCCTGGCATTGATCTCCTCCAAACTGATGAGGCTGCGGTGACGGATGTAGTGCTGGAAAGAGGCGGCCTCCACATACTCTTGGATTCCTGAATGCATAAAATCAACAAAGAAAAGAATCACCCACACCAACCAAAGCTGCCTGACACTATACAAGTAAAGGATATTGAGCTTTTGGGTGAAATTTTAGGATGAATATCATGTGTACATTAAATCATTACGGGTGAATTTAACCCTTTCATGCACCCTGTAACCTGATAAGATGATAAGCTGTCCACCGGAGTAACCGCGGTCTCTGAAAGGGTTAATTTGACTTCTTTTTTTAACTTTTCTAATGTACGAGTCCAACTGTTGAGTCTTTCACTACTTTTTGCACAAAGTGCTGAAGGGAAGGGGGCTTAATGGCAACACTCAAACATGATGTTCTCAGAGGGAAGTGGCCACTGAGCTTAGTGTCAGTGTGTCATCACCAGATTTCAATAGAGATACAGAGAAACTGGAAGAGTCACAGAAAGGCATAGAAGTGGAAGTCCTTGGAAATTACTGGAATTTTGCTATTCACAGTAGATTCTGAAAAAAAATATTAAAGCGTTGAACAGCTGGACATGTTCAAAGGTCTAACAAAGGTCAAATGAAGTCCAACTACAAAAATGATAGAATACTGCATTTTAGATTCATCCTGAAATTTCACCAGAAAGCCTAATATCCCTATGTTTTTGTGACCATACAATGTCGCGGTGGATTTACACACACACACAAAAAAAAAGAATACGTTAGTTTAAAAAAGGAGAGAAAAAAACGCAGAATGCATATCAAGCCAAGTGTGCATAAACACTACAGGCTATCTGCAGAGTATAGATCACAGATGCAGATAGTGATTCAAACCTGTTTCCTGTAACAGTCTTTTGATTTGAACAACAGTGGCCGTTTTTTGTAGCAGACTGAGATGACCCCTCATTTGTTTTCTGGCCCTGTGTAAACAATAATCAAATAATCACAGGACGGAAGACTTTGTGTCTGAAGTTTACTTTTGGAGCGCAATTGAACTTCAAAAGGGCCTGCTATCTCACTCAGAGAGCGACTCGCAGCTGAGACGAGCATGTGCTTCGTCTCTACTTCGTCTCCATATGTACTGCTTTCAGTGCATGGTGTCAAGCAAACTCACAGCAATTTGTTTTGTTTCATTTGTTTGGGATATTTTACAAATACTTTGGAATGAAATGATTGCAAAACATAAACAGCACAGAGCTAAAAGTTTTTTTTTTAAGTTTTATTTCACAGTGGTTATCTTGTCTACATACAGTGTGACAGTTCGGAATGTCAACAAAACATTGCGTGTAAAGATAATTAACGTTTTATTGTGACTAGAGTGTGAGTGTGGAACAATTAAGTTCACTTGACAAAAGTATATTGTGAAAATAATTGTTTTGAAATTAAACTTTAACGGTTCTATTGTAGACACTATGTGCAACACCTGCCCTGTCTTGGAACATTGTATAAATAAAAAGAGATCTTACTTGCATTGTCCATATAAGATAAGTAAATATTTATTTTAGGATCGACTATTAACATTTAGGCTTGTTCAAGTACAGCCATGAAAAAAAATGATGGTCATCCTGCACTGACCAAGCTGAGGGCTTAAGCCTGCACATCACATCTCCAGGGCTTGAGAGTTGAGCACACGAGACTACAGGGTAAAAGCAAAGGCCCATAACCCACTGGCTAGTGCAGCTTTACTTGACATACTTGTCACACAGCACAAGCCGGCAGCCGTTACATTAACACTGCTGGGAGCTGTGAATCTGATTTGAATCTAGCATAATCTAATGTGTCCAGGATATGACAAGAAAAGGGTTCAGTATGCATTAAGGCAGGTTGAGCTCATCTCTACCAAGAAACTGTTCATATTATTTAGTTGAATGACACAACAGCGGGTTCATGTTTTCTAACGGAGAAAGTGAAACACAACAGCAGATGATTGGGGGTGTTTGCATTTTACGCAATCTTAATCAGGGATGGGCAACTTAAATGATGGAAAGGGCCACATTTTTTTCATTAGTGCTACTCGGGACCACGCACTTCCTTACCAGATGTATGACAAAAATTTTAAATATGAGCAAACGTTCAAAGTATGTGCACTTCATAGATTTCAGTTTTCATAATACAGTCCTCAATGCATGTATAAAAGATCCACAATTCAACACCAAAGGGTTTGAAGCAAACAACTTAACAACCACATACTGTGTTTTCTTTCCACCAATGTAAAGGGCTCACTTGCACAAAACTTACCATGAAAGCTAAACAGCAAACCTACATTAAGAGCAGGACTTCCATCCATCCATCCATCATCTGAACCACTTCATCCTCACAAGGGTCACGGACAGGTTTTTTCCCCCCCACAAGATATTGTCCGGGCATACACACGCACACGCACACGCACACACACACACACACACACACACACACACACATACCCATGAATGTATAATAATAATATTTTTTCCCTGTCCTATGGTTAATCTATTCATCTGCAAAATTCTGAACAGTGTTCCTTGTGTTTACTGAGAAATGGAAAAAAAATAATACAAATAATTTAAGGGGTGTACTAATTTATGATGAGCGCTATGCTATTCTACAGTAGTGTATGTTTGAGCAGCAGAGTGGTTCACGCTGGAAATTCCCCACCACTTGCTCATGTAGATATTGAGCTAAAGAGCTTATCAAACCGAAACCGTTGATCTTTTATCAGCAGGAATTAGGTTCAGATTTTGCCCTCAATATCGTTAATGGCCTCTCTATAAATAATACGGAGCCATTACATATGCCCGGAAACGCCTTTTCCAGATTAGTGGCAAAGCCGCTACGACTGAGCACTAACAAAGATGATAAAAATGGAGAGGGGGGGAAAGAGTCTAATTGGCGGGAACTGCCACTGGTCACGTCGCAGAGGATGCAGCATCGATTCAAGAGTGACTGCAATCTAAAAATGACTCCCCACCCCCTCACGATAGATAACAGCTCACCATCACATGGGTTTGTCTCAAAGCTCTGCAGACATTTTGGCTACGCTAACAAGAACGGATAGTGATGCAAGAAGTGCAAAAACAACGTTATCAGTGGGTGTTCCTGTTAATGTAGGCCTGTACCAAGGTCAAGTTTTCACACAAACAGTTATTTCACCATCAACTTAAAGCACAGGAGGACATACTGTGATGGGCAACAAGCTTGTTTGGATAGCCATTGTTAGTTTATCCAGTTATCTAATGTTTTACGATTCAAAAATTGATCAACAGAGTATGTGTGCACAGATGGATACAAAGCAGAATAGTATGACAATGTCTGTCTCACGGCTGAAGAGGTCATGGGATTGATTCTGGGCTCTGGCCTTTCTGTGTGGAGTTTGCATGTCCTCCCCGTGCCTACGTGGGTTGTCTCTGGGTACTCAGGTTTCCTCCCACATTCCAAAAACATGTATGGCAGGTGAATAGAACACTCTAAATTGTCCCTAGGTGTGAGTGTGAATGATTGTTCGTCTATGTGTGCCCTGAGATTGGCTGGCAACCAGTACAGGATGTACCCCGCCAACTGCCCAAAGACAGCTGGGATAGGCTCCAGCACGCCTGCGACCCTCGTGAGGGTAGGCGGTTCGGATAATGGATGGATGGATGGATGGATGGTATCTCAGTCTGTACATTGACAGGTACCACATAATGATATACCGGTGCATGACTTTAAATGAAGAAGAAAGAAGACACAAAGAAGAAATCTAGCATTAATGTTAAATGAATACTGTAGCACTGTGCGCTTAGCTGTAAATAAAGTGAACGAAAAAGGAATACAAGACTGATTGTTAAGAATATGACACCGACCAAACACGAATGTCCAGTCCAAGCCTAATTTGCGATCCTCGGCCATTGAATTCTTTTGGTTGAATGTGTGTCTTATTTAACTGTCACATTTATGTTTGATTTATGTTGCAGTATATTAATTTATTTATTAGTTTGTTCATTTATTTGACTTTAGGTTGTGTGTAAAATTGTGAGATCCCAGTCAATTCCTCTACACGAGTTGCAATGTTCACCCACGCATTGCTTGTAAAAATCATACTTTATGATTTATCAACTGACTCATCCAATGAACTGATTTGCTGGTGATGGGCCAAAATCTCCAATTTGGTAAATGTCATGCACTATTGGTTTATTAATATATAAACAATTTTAGACCATCACAAAGTACAACGACAATAATGAACACATTTAAACATGAACACCTCTCTGTGTCAATGTAAACAAAGCAATTATATAGGATGTCATTACTGTACAATGTGAAAGTGTGCGTAATGTTGTGGCTAGACAATGTGTCATCTAATTTTGCAAATAACATCAGATAGTTCATGAAATATGTCAAACATATCTTTTTAAATCACTCAGACATGGAATACATTTTAAATTTTAAATAAATAGATGAGAAATGAAATTTAAACATTTTTCTTTTTATTTCTTTTTAGGGCCAAAAACTTACCTGCAGTGAATGCTCTGTGAAACTGATAGATGTCCTCGCCGCGAAGCTCTTCTGCAATCTGACCAATTTTCTCCCTCACACCACTCAGTTTCCCATCGGCCTCATTCAAAATAGCCTCTGCATCTGGAACACTTCCCAAAAAAGAAACCCAGAGCACATTCAGAACAGACATTCTGCATTTCAATTTTCAGTAAACATTGGACCTTATGCATGACTATGTTGCTTCTTCTCTCCTTGCACAACCAAGTCAGAAGGAAAAAGGGAAAGGAAATCCTAGATGTGATTCATGAACTTCAACTCTTACCAACCTAAATGTTTCTGTTTGATAGAGAGGAATTCCTCGGTGTGATTCATGAACTTCAAATCTTACCGAGTTAAATGTTTCTGTTTGATAGAAATATGCATACATTATGTGACAGATTTCTTCAAATAAAATATTGAGAGGTTAAACATTGGTTAAGGAAGAACAAACCCCTGTTTGGTACAGATCACTGCTTTTGTAAATAACAATCTAATTATGCATTTTCCATATTTTAATCAATTTCTGAATTAATGAATCTTAACAGCATAATTACAATTTAAATCACGTTGAAAATTTAACAAATATTCATCGTTGATACTGCATACCTTGTCACTCTGTGTAAAAGAAAAATTGTCCTCTTGCTCTCAATGGTGACGTCTCGACTAAGCTTAACGAGACGCTCGTATTTGTCGTGTTTGGCGTCAAGCTCCATCTGGAAGACTTTTAAACAAATGTGTGTAAGTAAGAAGTTCTTTGCAAATGCTGTATCCATCCAGGTGAAAAGTGGCATTGAAACAAAGAGGATGCGGTGTACCTTTAAAGGCTGCAATGACAGGTGAAGACAGATCCGGACTTGCCTCACAATGTTGAGCTGCATTGCCATTTTTCTGTGGATGGCCTTCACCTATAAATGATGCAGAAAAGAAATATTATGTTTTCTGCATTGCCAACTTCTTGTCTAAGCGACTCTCACACAAATTTCTGTGGCTGCAGTCATCTATGTTCCGTTCAGTTTGCTATTATAACGCCCCGCTTTGATCTACTCTAGGAAATGCTAAGAACCTGACGCGATGCATTGTCCTGCAGATTACATTTGTTGCAACTGTTGTCGACGTTAGTTCACACTATAAAATAATAACGCCCCAGAAATACAAAGACATAGAAATTTTGTACTCGGGAGTTAAAGCAATATTCCTTTCACTGAGCTTCATGGAAAATAAGCAGATGGATCCAGCATGTAAACAATGGCTATAAACGTAGAACTTAGAAGCTATTACATGTGCATCTGACGCTTTCAGACCAAAATGTAATGATTAGTCGCGAAATCTGGACTTACCTCCTCGTTTATTCATACTTTCAGCGATAACCGAAACCACAATTTAAGCCGAATTGTGATTATTTTTGACGACCGCCTGAAGTGTGCTCCAAAACATACGCGAAGCACCACAGTTTACAGCTTAACTTGATGAAGCTTACAGAATCCTTTGTCGGGCGAAGTGATTTCTATTTGTAATTAAAAGACAGATATTACTTGTGCATTTAAATGAAGAAATAATGGGGAAATAAATATGCAGTAAATCTTCGCGAAATATGTTCTAGTTTTTTACATTTCTTTTCAGGCACTCAGGCTGTCTTGTTAATATGGGGCTTTACAGATGTTGTTTTCGTAACAGGAAATGAAAGACGCGATGCATGTTGGGATATGTATTATTTTAGAAAAGTAGGCAGGGGGCATTCGTACAAAGTGGCGAGTGCAGCTCACTCAGGTCAAAAGTCACCCACCGAAGCAGGTCGAATAATTTCATCGACATTAATTTATTAGTTGTCTGAGTGCTCCCTTCACTCGGCCAGTGTCAATGTTTTATGGGTGGCCAGTGGTGTGATGAGAATTCAAACAGCGGGTATTAATAATAAAATGGGTTGTGCTGTACTTATGTTTTGTTTTTGCTTTTGAAGGGCAATTTCCAGGATCAAAATCGAAAAGAAAAGAGAAAGAGAGAGCCAAGAGAACTATCAGGTCAAGGTATTATTTTTCCGTGGCATTTTACGTCGTAATATGTCGTCGAACCCGAAGACAGTATGTAATGTTTAATTTGTTTAAAAAAACATCTCTTTCAGCGATCGACTCTATTCTTTATTGTTGTATGTTTTATTCACTTTCTTGATCAGATTACTCACTCTCCACTAACCCCTCCTCCAGTGATTCCAAGACTGTCTACGTGCAGTTTGACAGCGCCAACCTCGTTTTGCCCATGGAAGCGCGTGTGCTGACGTCCAAAACCCGTTTACTTATAAATAAGGGTACTCGACTCAGTCGGACTGCAACGTTGACTGTGCCAGCATCGTATTGGATGCGTGACAGAATGCAACCTTGAATATTATAGCAAATGCATTGGATTGTTTCTGTAAGGTAGTTGTTGTTGTTAAAATACACAATACTTATAACAAATTGCGCCCTAAAATCACACAGATCCGTGTATTATGACAGAAGGGGAATCTTTGCATGAATATTGTGTCGTTTCGTGAAAGGAATTTCATAAATGCCAGTCAGGAACGAGGGCCACAAGCTGATCTAACGTCGTGTTACGTTCTATGGCTGCCCTCTGGCTCATATTTCAGAGTGTCCTCAGGATCTCGTTGTTGTTTATAGTATTTTTAAGATTGTATTCACTCGACATCACAAGTAAGATGCCACATTTTGATGCCGTGCTCCAAATATTCCGTCCTGAAAAAAAATATGCAAACTTTTATTACATTGTCAGGGAGGTATTAATTCGCTCATCGGTGTTTCTTAATTATCTGATGCAATAATGCGACACAAGAGCGCAAGGTTTTGTTGTCTGTTGTTTGACAAAGAGTCAGTAAGACATGGGTGTATATTAGACACTTTGTGTATAAAGATTAGTGACAAGCGGTGACATAAATTCACGACTCGCACGTGGCTTGAGCGTCACAGCTTTCCGATGGCGCCTAACACAACGCACGGGTTGAGGTGTGGCTTCCACCTGACGTCAGAGCAGGCGGGCCGGGGACAGGCTGGGAACACAGAGCGTCGCCATGCACCACCCGCGTATCTACAGCTAGCTTGCAGAATGCCCCATGAAGACCTCGACACAGGCCGTTTTGCTCGCTCCGGGCCACACTTTGTCGCGTTATTTCTCAGACTCAACATGTGGAGAGGTAGCGGGTGTTATGGAAGGGACGGCTTTTAAGTTCGACTCCAGGGTTTCGCTCGGTGTAGCGTGGCAAGAAGCGGTGGACCACTTCCAAAGTTGTCGGTTAGCAGGGCGCGTGTGAAGGATTGGAATTAAAGGCGCCGCGCACCCGTTGTTAGCGGCAAACATGGAGAAGCAGCAAAACGATTTGGAGCGAGAGCGCCAGTACTGTGAACTTTGTGGGAAAATGGAGAACCTTTTGAAGTGCGGTAGGTGTCGGAGCTCCTTCTACTGCAGCAAGGAGCACCAAAAGCAACACTGGAAAGAACACAAACTCATTTGTAAGGAAGTGGACAAGACGCAGCCACCTAAACAGAAGCCCGAGCTCGAGCAACCGCCCGGGGATGAGAAGGCGCCGGATAAATGCCCGAAGAAGAACAGCCACGAGCAGGCGGACACCGGTGCGCCTTCGTCACAAACCACAAACACGGAGCAGCAGGGCATTGGAGAGCAATTGGCTGAGGATGGCCCCAACTATCCCGCCACACCTAATGGACAAACGACATCTCCACAGAAACTGGCCACGGAGTATGTCATCCCGTGTATGAACAAGCACGGCATCTGCGTGGTGGACGACTTTATGGGCGAGGAGACAGGGCTGAGCATCCTGGAGGACGTCAAGGCCCTGCACAAAACCGGCCGGTTCACGGACGGTCAAGTGGTCAGCCAGAAAAGTGACTCCACTAAAGACATCCGTGGGGACAAAATCACGTGGGTGGACGGGAAAGAGGCCGGCTGTGAGAAGATCCGCTTCCTCACCAGTCGCATGGACGACTTGGTCAGACATTGTAACGGCAAACTGGGCAACTACGCCATCAACGGAAGGACAAAAGTAAGTAGAGAAACAGGTGGGCACTGTCAACCATCCATTTTTTTCCCTTTTTTTTTGGCCTGCTTGCATGCTTCAAACCAATAAGCATTAAACAAGTCAAGAAAGTAAGTACCATGCTGACAAGCCCGCAGCTTCCATTGCCTCTTCTAACTTTGTCACGTTTCACATCACTAATAGAAACTGTGCAATGCCGCACTCTACTGTAGGTAGATGTGTAACATCAATACGTGGGTTCCTAGATGAATAGACACGGCTCGTGTTAGGAAGACAACAGGGCAATGTGACTTCTACAATGAAAATATCAAACAGTGGTGCATATTTTGGTCATCCTGTTCTTAACAATTATCAAATAAACAACAGTGATTGCTTAGGTAACAGCAACTGGAGAAAAATAATTTGCAGTAGACTTGAATGCAAAATACATTTTTCGAAGAGTAATTGATTGAACAATCAATACAATAATTGATTCTAACAATCTTTGATAGTGACACACGCAGTGTGAATGTGGCTGTTTGTTGTCTGTGACTAACTGGTGATAGGTAACTGGCGGCTGGGTGGTGGGGAGAGAAAAAAATTTTCCACATACAATTCAAACTTGAGACCTTTTAAGTCAAAATTGGTTGTGTTAATGGACTTCTAAATCATATAAAAATCTTGGAGGCACCATGTATATATTTTTCCTGTGGTTGATAAAAAAGAGGAATGACTCAGCTCCAACATTTAGTGCATCTAAACAGTTGCTCATAAAAGTCCGATTTTATGTAACTTGCTGATAATATGACTACACACGCACACACACACACACACACACACACACACACACACCTAACAGGTTAAAAATAAAGATGGAATGAACTGAAAAAGACCTGCACTTATCCTGTCTCAATGTGAATCATCTGAATGGCTCCCGTGTCACATGTTCTTCAATTGCCCTTTTTTTTTGTACATATGAGCAATTTTGCTTTTTTGCACCCCTTTTATAACCCAATATTAAACAGTGGCCCCCCCCCCCCCCACGCCCAATAATGGGAGTTTTTTTGGTTACGAAAGGCAGGTGTTGTATTACTACCAAGCTGCTGTGAATCTTTAAAACAAGAATATGAGTCGTTGACCTTTCATCCGCTTTTAATGTCTGGCACATTCTGTCTTCCATGCACATATACAGAAATTATTTTGAATTGGTGCACTCTCACCAATCTAACAGGTATGCTTGATGTCCAAATAAACAGCCATGCAATATACAGAATTCTACACGTGTAATGCAGGATGTTGTGCATACTTCAAAAGGATCCTTTAGTTGAGAGAACTGACAAAGAGGAAAGGCCTGATGCTAACACCTCTCCAGTATAATGCAATCAGAGCCAACAAACTAAATGCCTACAAAACGAGAAGGACTCAGGTGCTTGTTTAGTCTTTAGAAGAACTACAACCACCCTGTCCACAGTGAAAAAATATATGTACAAGCAATAAAGATAAAGGAAAGGCAATGACACCGTGTAACAATAACAACAATGCCTTATGTAAAAGGTTTATACGACCCTTGAGATTTTGATTTTTGACGTAGCTGTTACTATTTTGGACCACCCGAAGTTCCCTGACACTGAAACAATCGGGCTAATACAAATTTCATGAATAAATACCATGAAATCAACACGTTCTTGTTTTCCTGGTCTCAGTTTTGATCTTTTTACCACACTGCACAGATTTATTATTTTTTTTTAAACATCTGATTAAATCCTTCCATAAGGAATGGTTTGAATATGATATGAAGCTCAGAAACGGTCAATGGTAAATATTCATTTTGATTTTATACTGCCCAAAAACCTTCAAACCTTCTTACAGGCTTATGTATTGCAGAGAAATAACGCTAAATAAGTAGTAATCTTTGACCTCTATCCTATTAACATTATAAAAGAAAAAAAAAACTGTCTTTACCTGATGCTCTATTTTGTATCAAATCTGGTTTCACCAGACGGCAGGAATTATTTATTTTAAATCTTTTTCCCCTCACATAGCCGTTTTCACTACACACCCACCTCAGACACTCTCGCTGAACATCGAAGATGATCGGTGCATATCCAGGACTTTTATTATTATTTTTTTTTTTTGTGACAAGATCACAGGCTATATCAGTGCTTATACTGATGGTGCATTCAAAGCTTTTGTTTGGCATGTTTTTCTTTCCACCCTTTTGCTCTTTCACTAAAACTGTGCTTGCTCTGAACTCCAACGTTGGGTGGAGTGTTGGCACCATGACCCGGTGTTAAAATTCTCGACCAGTGAGCTGTCAGTGTTCTTTTTAAACAGAAGTTAGCAGTGATTTGATGTAATATATTGTCCTGCAAAATATTAGTGGGGATGGAATAACGCAGATAACCGATAGCTGCACGATGCTATTTTAGGTTTCTCTCCTTATCCAGTTTCTTTACAACTGGACGCTTCTCAGTAGAAGGCCTCTCAGTAAACACACATTTTGAGTACATGACAAGTGTGCTCAGCCACGCGCCAAACACTGGTGAGGATGTAACTTCCTTGCCTATTGCCCTGGATGCCTTGGCAAACACCCGGCTTGGACTGTGACCAGAGAAAATGAGCATGACTTGCACAAATGCGAAGGCCGTCTGTATCAATGGCTCAAAGGGAGCTGACATAATGTAAGCAGGTTTGACATTGGGAGAGACGGAGGAAAAACATGCACACAGCGTGATTTGATGTAATTGTTTCAATTTCCCCTTTTCGCTTGACAACATTGTTGGAAGTTGGCATGTTCTGATAAATACAAAATTTGTTTGGTGCCGTGATTGCACTCATCATTCATGAAGTGAGTTTGTGACTTTTTGTACCACAACTTGATTGCACGTTGACCTTCTTGCTGCTGACCATCTGCATGGACATCATGATGAAAATGTTTAATGCTTAGCTCATGCTGTCCTTATTATAGTTGCAGTACAAAGCTGAACTGTCCAGCGTTGCAATTTTCAGATAAAGTACAACAACCATTTAAATGCCGAACACAATCCATTCTGGAACACTCGTTGACCTGAATTGGTCAGCTTTCCAAATGTTAAAAGACCAAACGGTATGAAAACTCCATATCGCTACGCTGCCATTCCATTGCCACCGTACGCACAGCAGGAACAGCTAGTATCCCCCCCCCAACTCCCCCACAACTCAATAAGGCTTAATGTCAGATGCTTTGAAAGCCGACTCAAGCCAGGGGCCCAATGCATCACTAGGGCCTGTTTTAGCCACGTCCATAAGAACCAGACAACTCAGATGGAAAAAAAGATCTCAGTAATTCAGTCCTATGTTTTTCTCCATCTTTGCACCCGTTTTAGGACTCAACGTCAAACATATCTAAAGTATCAAATCCCGTAAAATGACTTTGCAGGTTCACTTGTCGTTCCGTGAAGATTTGAATACTGTTGTCATTTTTTTTTCCCAGAAGAGGTGTTGATTCATTTTTTTTCTAATAATTTATAATTATCATTTTCATAGATTCAAATGAGATGTGATTTGCAGCGCTCAACTTAACCCCGCTTAATATGTAAGCTTTGAAAGAAAAATATCAATTTCTCACACAGGAAATATTTTCTGAATATGATGATTTTATACATTTTGTGAAAGGTTTTTTTTTTTTTTTTTTTTTAATCTAAAAATATGTGCGTTCCTCTCTTTTTATTGTCTTGTAGTTTGTTGTATGTCACACAGTCAGTGTCTGTGGACCTGACTGCTCGTCTGAGGAAGTTGACCGTTGACCTAAATCTTAATGCATTGTAGAATAAGAACGCTGTAGGAAGTCATGTGTTACGGGGTCCTCTGAGTGCTGGATATTTCTCTTTAGGTTCCGTGAGGTACCTGTTCCTTCCGCTTCCACGCTCCTCGTCTGTCCATGGCACCACTGTGTATAGCACCTTTTTCCCGGCTTATTGTTTGCGCACCGTACAATCAACAGTGCAAAAATACTCCAACTCAAGTACAAAAACCATTGCTCATGGTCCTGTTACTCCTTGTGAGTTGTGTGTAGGGCTGTCTGAATGCCACCATTTCAGGGCGGTTAAGGCAACGTAGAGTTCCTGCTGATACAATACCAAATTCCTATTCAGAATCAGAATCATCTTTATTGGCCAAGTATGTAGAACACACAAGGAATTTGTCTCCGGTAGTACAGGCTGCACTAGTATCATCATAAACAAGGACATGACAAATAAGTATGGAAGGACATTCCGTAATGGAAGTGTACCGTTGTGGTAGAATACAACACTGTAACAGTTGTGCAGTTGTATTCATCATTTTAGCCTTGGTAAGTATCAAACAAGAAACACTGATGTAGCACCAGCCTGCACGGAAATATCTAAAGAGCCTCATTGTTAAACCACACCAGGCCTATTAAAAAGAGTCTTTATTCAGTGAAATTAGCTCGGTGTTGTCTGTATTAATGATGTCACCAACACAATTGTTCAACCTGATTCTTTTGATTATTTTGTAACATTGTGCTTATTTTAACAAGATATCTGAATATAGCTGAAATTATGTCCGAAGCAAAGCTGTAAATTTTAGAAATTAAGAATATTCGGTAGGCTCTTGGATTACAAAGTTTAAGCAGTAAAAAGAAAAATTACAATTGCAGCTAAAGTAAGTTTTTTTTTAAGTTTCCGTGAACCTTATTGAACTTTGACTGCAGATGGCATACTGGATATTCTATTATTCAAGCCGTATTCTCACTCCTCTACTACTGCCAAAAGGAAAGTATCAGTGACTGATCCAATTACAGAATGTACTCATTTGACTCGGCCACACACGGTTGGAGCTATTAATTTGTCTCAGGAGTCACTAAAAAGTTGAATCGCAACAAATACAAAAATGCACTTGCATTTCCTAGTGTTTTTGAAACATAGAGCCAACTGTGTGATGACACCATAAAATGAGTTGCTGTTCATGTTCGAAACTGCATTGTCTGATTACCGGGCCCGATCCAAATTCGGATAATTTGGCTTTTGCAGCGATTTGTGCCTGCCTTGACAGTCTAGAGCTGGGGTGTCCAAGCCTGGTCCTCAGGGGCCACTATCTTAAATGTTTTAGATGATTCCATCCTCCAGCACACCCGATGCAAATGATCAAAATTGCTATCAGGCTTCTGCAGAGCTTGCTAATCATCTGATCCTTTGAGTCAGGTGTCAGCAAATCGCTGAAAGAACAGAAAATCTGAAACGGGAAAGGACACTTCAGTGGGGTCCACTTTTTTGTCATTTCGGAATACAATAGGAATACTGTATGTCATTTCAAATTGACTGCGTCAGTTGACTTCTAGGGAAAGAATTGCAAAACAGCTGTGCGCGTGGAGTTCACACCTTCAGTCACAAACGTGCTCCGGGCAGGTCGTGCAGCATGAGCAGAGCTCAAGTGTGGGGAGGTTGGAGGGGGAGGGGGGCGGACCTAAGCGGAGGATCAGCCAGCCGTCCTCACGCTCTGCACGTAGCATGACCATTAAAATACAAGTCCTTCTGGAATGACGCCAGAAGTCAAAGTTTACTGCAGTTCAGCTCTCGCTTCTGCTTTAGCTCCAGCCATACTCTCTTACAAGTATGTGCACGCATAGAGCAACTTCACTTTTTTGCAGTTGTTTTTCCCCAATTAAACTTGCCTCTATTCCTAAATGAGTAAAATAGGTGGCAAGCGTGTGCAGCCATAGCAAGCTTACGCTCGTGTCCTTGGTGTGAGCAGGGTTTTTTTTTTTCCGTCCTTGGCTGTCTACACTAAATAATTGCAACATACGTCTTGAGTTAAATGCTCTCTTTTCCACCACCAAATTTTGAACAGTGCAAATGTATTTACCCGACTATCTAAGCCACTTCACTCTTATGGTTATGACTTACTGGTCTCTACATTCTAATATCACTTTTGTCTGATACTGGAGGGAAATTTATTTTATGCTCCGTTATTGTCTGCATGTATGTATATATATATATTTTTTTTTTTTATTTTACTCTCATTATCATTTTGATCTTCTTGTCTTTAGGCAATGGTAGCGTGTTACCCTGGAAACGGGACCCGTTACGTGCGCCATGTGGATAACCCCAACGGCGATGGACGTTGTGTCACATGCATATATTACCTTAATAAAGATTGGAATGCCCAGGTATGTGAAACTGATGGGGGTGGGGGGTGAACATACTGATAATAAATCAGATGTTGGAAATTGGAATAATCTACTGTATTGAGTATGCTGGGGAAAAAGCATATGAGCTAAAGGAGTGCACCCAAACAGAATTGTGAGCAAACCTTGAGTTGGTATACTATACAGTACTGCAAAGTACTCCAACACACGCAGGCCATTGATTGTGATTAAGATTGGCAACGTGGGCCATCGAAAATAGATTTTTCACACAAATGCGGTTATTGTTATAAACATAGGAACTCTAATGGAAGTCGATCACACCAAACTGTTTCATTTTCAAATCAATTCAACAAACACTTGCGCACTCTAACTCCAAACAACACAAGCGATTATCGAGTCATCCTCATGTGTCTTCATATGCAGTTGTTTCTTTAAGCTTTGGGTGGTAAAACATTTTCATTGTGGTGTCTGCTAAGGTGTTTCCCACCTTAGCAGTAACAAGTTTACTGCATAATTGGCAAATTGTTGTATTTTGCTGCATATCTGAAGTCGTGTAGCCAAACCACCACCACACGACAGAGGTAACTCCCGTTTTAGACACTAAATCCTCATTTAGTCGACATAGTCGCTCTCTGACATTGTTGTAAGATCGACTGTGCCCGAAGCACCTCACCAAGGAGGCTTCCAGGAGGGATCCTAGCTAGATGCCCGAGCCACCTCATCTGGCTCTTCTCAATGCGAAGGAGCAGTCGCTCAACTCTAAGACCCTCCCGGATGACTGAGATTCGCCCAGAAACCCCACGGAGGAGTCTCATTTTGGCCGCTAATATCCGGGATCTTGTTCTTTTACCCCCAACCTAAAGGCGAGGGTAAGAAGTTAAGAACGTAGATTGACCGGTAAATCGAGAGCTTTCCGTTTCACCTCAGCTCCTTCTCCACCACGACAGACGGATATAAAGTCTTGAACAGCGAAAATCCACAATTGACATCGCTCATAAAAAGGTGTGTAATTGCCCGCAGATGCCACAGGATAGCGGCAAAGTACTCATCTATTAGACATGGCTATGGCCTGAGTACAAAAACAGCGAGTAGTTTTTGGGTTTGCCAATATGCGGGAGAATATTGTACTCGTAAAAAGTTAGTCACTGTTTGTCTTCGTAGGGCGTCATGAAGTAAGCACATTAGTGAAAGGCAACTCTTGTCAGTGACTGAGCCTCAATGTTGTTTTATTCCACAGCCAACAGTGTCACTACGTGCAGCCTGCTTGTTGATAATCCCTTTAAAAAATGATCCTGCTTATCCAACAACATCCAAATGGCCACAAGATCCCCTCACATTTAGTGACTTGTTCTCACTCTTAAGTGCTTAAGCATTAGTGCAGTATAAAAGAAAATGTAGTTCAGTATGGCAAAGTGTTTTCCGCACCAATATTCTGCTGCTCTATTTGAAAGTGGCATCAGTTGTGGGTCAGTCTTGGCAGCTTCATGGTGAACACTTATGGCCGTGACTTCGGTCTGTCGGACTATTCGGTATCTAAATGCTGTGTTTGTGCCCTGTGCATCAGGTGGACTCCAGGTCTGCCCCCATGCTAATCTTTGAGGCTGTTATGTCATCGCGATTGTTATGTTGACGCACAGGCTTTAATTACTCCAATGAACCGTGTTCAGAAATCGTGTTTGACTCAACAAACTAAAAAATTCTTACCATACGTCGTTTTATTCAACGCAAGGCAGTGAATTATTGAAGTTTATAGTGTCTTCAAAATCACGTTAGTGTTCTCCTGAATGACTGTTATACCATTTACTGTACACTGTTTAAGTCCCATATACTGTATGTACACTGTCATCACTGAAAGGTGTCACAACCAGCCTTAACACTCCAGCCCCGAAGTATGAAAAAAAATGAGGGTGATGAACAAGTTCTTGTGTTTTACAGTTACACAGTCCTTATTCACTGGAACATGTCGTAATTTAGTTTAGTACTGTATTTCACCTTATACACAATAATAGTTCAGTCGTAACTAGTAAGTAGTGAAGAATTGTTGTTAGGTTTGACGATTCAGTAAATCTGCATTTGTTTAGTTATAAAATCAGCTTCACTGTTTGAAACAAACTTAGTAATGATGCACTACTGATTAAGGTTCGACACAGAAAAGCGGCATGGTTTAAAAACACATTTCTCCGTAGGAAAGAAACGATCCAGTCACCTTCATGAAACCTTTTATCAGTACTGGACAAAAGTTTTTAAGTTTAAAAAAAAAAAAGAACAAGAAAAAAGGTCAAAATATTGGTAAGGGGAAAAAAAAAGTCTGACTGTATATGGAAAAACAGATCCACCGATCTGAACCAGACAAATCAGATCTGTGTGATGGATCTGCCGATAGCCAGTCTCGATCCGATTCCTCAGCAATGCATTATGAAGAAAAAAAGAGCACACCAAAGTGTTAATTATTTTATTTACTTATGTATTATATTAATTCGTGAAAGGTATCCCAACACCATAACTTTTTATATAGCTGCAAGTCAGCAGTGGTTAAAAACAAGGACATAAAATATTTTAATGATTGATTTTGGAAAAAGAAAAAAATTCAAAAATCATATCTTTTTTTTTTTATCCGATGTTGATCAGGTAAGGGTCACGGGATCTGCCCCCATTTCCGATCACATGATTGGATCAGGAAAGCTCTGCTTGGTGACATGAGTTAACAAAAGTGGAAAAGGCTGCTTGAATTTTAACACCAAACGTGACGCACATGATGACACAGGTGGACAAAAGTACTTGGACGCAGCTGCAGACTGCGTTGAATTTGACTTCCCTTGCGTCACGTAATTCTGGTGAAAATTGCTTTTGTGAGGATACGCAAAGCATGAGACATGCATGCGAAATGAATCCTTGGATAACAATGCTTTCTTGAATCTATTTGATGCTCATTTACATGTGTGCTGTGAATTACACTGAGATCTTGTGTGTTATGCCAAAGCTAATGTGTAGAGCGCTTTTTAAGAGTCCTGTTTTTGCCACAACTTTGGTCAAAGTCCAAAATGTACAATCCTTGTGATTTATGCAACATTTAGGGTTCCTCTTCATAGTAGAGAATCCCGTGTCCGGACACTGGCGCGTTAAGAACTTTGCTTAACCTGTTGCGTGTTGCTTTAACAAAAAACAAAAAATGGACCCTTCTCTTGCCCTTATTGACCCACTTGTGTTGGTTGAACTTTGTCACACTGTCGCCATTCTCGTTTTGGTGAAAGACAAAAAAAAAAAGTACAAATGAGCAGGCGTGCAAGTGTGCGTGTGAAGAAAGGGGCCTATCATATCAGGACGGCACGCTTGCAGCAATCTGCTTTTTCACTCTCCAGGTCCTTTATCCAGCCACAGCAGTTTTCCTGTAGGTTATTCTTCCTATCCCTCCACAGGAAAGCCATCCCCCGCTGCTGTTTCCTATCTTGAACTTTCCTCTGAGCCCCTGGACTCATTGGACAAGCCTTTCCCCTCACATTGGCGTCCATCTGAAGCTGTTTGGGGATATCACAGGGGGCTCTTAAAAAGAGCCCCCTTTTTAGGCAACGTCATGCGACATGACCTTTGAAATCGGACAGACAATACAGATGCAACAGCACGCACCGCTGAGCACGGGCTTTTGGTTCACCTTGCAGCTTTTGTCCCGATGCGTGAACTTAATCGAGACGTTTCTTCCTTGTTCTCATCTTCCAGGAACACGGCGGCCTTCTTCGAATCTTCCCAGAAGGAAGTGACCAAGTTGCCGAGATAGACCCCAAATTTGACCGTCTACTTTTTTTCTGGTCAGACAGACGAAACCCCCATGAGGTTCAGCCTGCTTATGCTACCAGGTGAGCTTCAACTGCGGGTCAGGGAAAAGAACTGAAACAAATTGACCCGTCATTGTGTTTTGTCTAGCGCAGTGAGAGATTCTTAGGAGAAAGTTGACCAGTTTCACTCACTCGGTCTGAAAATGATTAGTTCACTCCAAATAATGTAGTTTATCCATCTGTCTATGTCAGTTACCAACGTACCGTGACTGGCAGAGCAATTAAAGGCTCTTTTGCGAGATGGCAATGAAAAATGTGTCCACTTTTTGGCTCAAGAAAGGTTGGGAAACTCGAGTCATTCCCACGAGGCAATTTGTAACACGTCTGGGAACACTTGACACTCAAAGTCCACTTCTTTTGTTTGTCGTGTAGCCGCTTCCCGTCCAGGCTCAAGCATTTCCATGCTCCAGTTCTTAGTGATAACCATGACTTTGCCGAATACAAAAAAAAAAGAAAGATGTTAAATATTCCACCAAAGTCAAATCCTAAAGTGGTTTTGTATACAGTCTGAATCATACAAGTGTGTCGAAAAAAGTGACTACATCTCAATGTCCTTACACTATAATAATAACTTTCCTCATCCTTGTGATAGTTTTTATTTCTATATACATCTTCTGTGGCATAGGCGTCATCTTATAGGAGGAGAGTGAAATGTTTTCCAATCGTCCAGGCCTGAAATTTCAGTTCAGTTGTTCCATGGAACATGGTTATGAAGCGGTTTGCAGAAACATCTAAAACAGACATTCCACCGATCTGATCGGCAGTATTGTATTTACATTTTGTTCATTTTTGCGGTCAGCTGTAATGTCATCATTCGCCGAGCCGCAACCGAGACATTACAGCTGCTGTGTTGATCTCTGGTGGGCTGTCGCAGATGAATTTTGGCAACTACTGACATGTAACTGTGGTATTATTTTAATTTTGCTTTGAGACGTGGAGATCGTGTTGCTGTGCTCCGTGTGAGAGTCTGCTAATCGATAGCCGTACTGCTTTCCGTTCCGTTATACTGCAAATAGAGTGCCTCAAATGAGTGACTTATCAAATGTATCGATGGCAAATCTATTTTAGAGGCATCAGAGGCATTGACATCTCAAACAGTATTGTTCCCCACGTCACTCCGGCAGGCATAAACGCCGTTTCATCACAGCACACTCGGTTCTGTTTTTGTGGCTGTTTGTGTATTTTCGCTTGGAAACGCCACTCGAGGTTGGGCAAAGCCTACATTCACCTGTCAGGATATTTCAAGTTTAATATTACGCTGTCAAAAGACCATGACGGGAAGCGAACCAAAGCCGCAGCACCAGACTACACACAGCAATTGTTTTTGGGAGAGCATTGTCCACAATTAAACCGTTTTGAAGTTGTGAAAATTGTCTTTGTGAAACAAATACATATATAGACACCTGTTAAATCAGGGGTCCCCAACCGCCGGGCCGCGGACCGGTATCGGTCCGTGGGTCATTTGGTGCCGGGCCGCACAGAAAGAATAAATAATTTCGGAATCTGAAAGATGTTTTATTTTGAAAAATTACCAGAGTCTCTGTTATATCAATCTACAGTATGTCACTTGACGCAGGTGAATGCGCGCTTCTCAGTCAAGTGATAGGTTACCGCATAAAAAACAAACGTCTTTGAAAAGTTTTTTTTCGGGAAGGGGAAAAGGCCCAGCCAGGAGACAGAAGAGGAGCCTACGACTTTCAAGAAAGAGAAGGCTACATTTCATAGACCGTATCAGGAGTCCTATTTCAAATACGGCTTTATCTCAACGGGAGATTCCCACGTGCCAAGCCCACTCTGCATAATAAGCGGAGATGGTGAGTCATATTTTTCATGCACTTTTTATTTGCCGCGTATGTTATTTTGAAGGCACGTTTAAACATTACCATAGCGACCACAAAATGTTGCGGCCAGATAGGACGTTCCTGGTGTCATGATTCGTGTTTATTATTATGTTTCGAAAATACCAAACTTTTCATGCAGGTCATATCATATTATATTGTTGTATCTATCCGGCCTTAAAAGGCCAGTCCCTGAAAATATCGTCTGACATGAAACCGGTCCACGGGGCAAAAAAGGTTGGGGGCCTCTGTGTTAAATCGAATGTCCACCATATGTCTATGATACAACATCAGCGTCTCACTTCACTTGATACTGAAATGGACATTTGTGACATGTTCTGATCAGTGATTTAATATTTATTTATTTTAAATGGGTGATCGACCCCAAAATTGCTGATTGTGTAGTCTAATTTAAAATAGGACAGTCCAAATTTGGAGTAGATTATAGTTGCCAATGGATTGGTGCAGTTATTGATGATAATCACCACTCGAGTGGTAAATGCAGTGAACGGAAAGACTTGGAATAATCCGCAAAGTCAAAAGCCCAAGGTGCGCTTGTGTACGTGTCAAATTATCACTGCGATCCTTCCTCCCGCCAGCTCTTCATGACCGCCTTGCGCAATACAAATAAACAAAGATGTGAAACAATCCATAAAGTCAAAGCCCAAAGTACACTTGCATACTTGTATGATCAACGTGGTCATCCCTCCCAGCAGTTGAAGTGATGACCGCCACGCTGCACGATAGAAATAAACAAGACTCAATATGACCACAACAGCACAGTGTGAGTATGCCGCTTAGATGCAATCTCGCAAACTGAAAAATAGAGGCATATCATTTGAAGTCACTTTAAATGTCATCTTTTTCAAAAATGTATTTAGAATTAAAGCCCCCCCCCCTTTTTTTTCATACATAATGATGTAGAGATGAAAGTCCTCCGGATTTTTACAGAATTCCGGATTTTCACATTTTCATGAAATTTCCTGCGGAAAATTGAGGAAAAATTGCCTAAAATGAATTTTTTTTTTTTTTTTTTTATTAGTTGACAACATTGAACGAACACATGTTTGAGTTAGTTGTTTTACTTTCAAGAGCGCAGCCATGTTGAGGCACGAACACTAGTAACAGTAACACCCCTCCCCTCGCATTCTCATGGCCTCGCCATATCTCTGAGATTTCGGCGAGAGCGGAAGCCACACAGGGTGCACGTGTGCACACAAACGGCAGATTAATCATTGAATGTCGAGTATTTGAATAGCGGTTTGTGTAAACTAATTCATGCGTGATCGGCCAGGTACGGCCCCAGCGCAATGTTCAAACAGGTAGACAGGCAAGCTGACATACGTGCAATAGACGCGAGTGTTAGGAACATGTTCAAGTGGTCATGGCTTGAGGAAAAGGACTTGAACGGAGATTTTTTTGTCCGACTACATTAGAAAGGTCGACAAACCTGGTAAGTCAGTTAAAATTATATTTTTATTTGTATTTTCCGGAATTTTCAGGAAAGTCCACTTTCATCTCTAACGATGCCATCAAGTCTCAGGTCACGAAAACCAGCGAGCAAATGTCATAACTTGGCTATCATGACAAATTGTAGCTTTAGAATCGTGTCAAATGTTCTCACGCTCTAACTGACGTATCGCACTGACCCGAGTTGCACCTCGCCGACAAACCGCGCTCCCCAACTCGCGCCTGGCTTCTTCTCTTTAGCGGGGAATCAGTGCTCCCATTATGTCTCTGCAGGTATGCCATCACCGTGTGGTATTTTGATGCAGATGAGCGAGCCAGAGCTAAAGAAAAGTACTTAACAGGTAGGCATGGACGTGCTTTTCAAGCCCGTTTGTCTTCTCCGTCTTCCCAAATGACTGTTGATCGAATCCTCCACTCTAGGAACACTTGTGATAAATATGTGGGGGGATTTTTACTTTTAATTTGTTTTGCCCCGTGCGTTCAGGTGCAGGAGAAAAAGGAGTAAAGGTTGAACTCGGCAAGCCATCCGATCCCAGCTAATGCAAAGACCGCGCCAGCTCCAGGCAGCCAATAAGTGCTCTGTCCCCTGAAAGTGGCCCTTAGACAGCATGTGTGTGTTTTACATGAAGTGGCGGGAATCTGATTGTGGATGGTTTTGGAAGAAAAAACGAGCATACGCAGTCAAGTGCGTTCATATTAAGTCAACCTTGACTGCCCAACGGACTTTGAATGTCATGCCATTGGACCGAAAGGGATGGTGTGTCTTTTTTTTTTTTTTTTTTTTTTTTTACTTCCCTCTCCTGGCCAGCCCGTCGTCTTTTTACAAAGGTGAACATTTGCACCACAACCGACACTTTCACACAACTGGCAGGAATCGAGCTCATCTCTCAGTGGATTCCTTCAAGGTACAGCATTCTGCATTAACGCCATGCATTATGCTTTTCACATGGAATCATCGTTTATATGCTGCTGTCTGGAAAATGTGCTTGAGTTTGCAACAATTAGGAAACAGATGGATTAAAACCACATTTATCCTGACAGAACCACAATGGTCTTAGTTTGTATTTCTTGTCCTCTTCATCAAATAAGATGGATGGTGTCACCCCTCCAAGAAAGCAAATCTAGTTTTTTGATGCCCCCTGCGGGACGTCAATGGTATAGCACTCATTGATTTCTTTTGTTTTCATATGTACCTTAATGCATTCATTTCCATATAATGGAAGTTGAATTACAAAAGGTCACAAATTAATTAATTCGTCAAATCTGTCTTAAAGTGTCTGTCGCTACTGTATTGCATATTGAGTAGGGAACCCGTTTTGTATAACTTTAAAAAGACCCGAATGAGAAATGAGGGGGAGATTTTACATAGTGTTTCCTTCATTTGGCGACGAATCAGCAGCCAGAAATATCTTCAATAAATCAGTAGACAGTATTTAATTTGTCCATTTCTAGCACAATTAAAATTTCAGGTACAATCTGTATGCATATCTCTATACAATTTGGACTTCAGCCTGATGATAATAGTGTCAATAAAACGAGTGAATTTACAAAGCAAATACGGCCTGTTGGTCTTATTCCTCATCCCAGATCACTAGACACTGTTCTAATAAACTTGATGAACTGAATTGTTGCAGTGGTGTAGAATCACGCGGCTATCACACTCAAAAATGTTTCTAAAAGTTTAGCTGTAACAGCGCAAAAAGAAGAGAAATCTCTCTGATGTGCATTGGGGTTTTACACCACTGCAAATTACAATAAACATTGTCAAATGAATACCTCTAACAGTGCTAATCCAATAACAATTGAATACTTGTTATACAATCTCTCATTACATTGTGAAAGTGTGCTTAATATGAGCAATGTGTGTAACAGGTGCATCTCAATAAATTAGAAAATGGTGCACAATATTATTTCAGTCATCTGAAGCAGGTGAATCCAGAACACAGTATGTTTGTTGGATGTAGTTAACCAAATTTAATCCAAAAGGCTTCTTCAGTTGTAATTGCATTTATGGAATCACAAGGTGCTCTCAGGCCCACGGTCGGCAACATCAATTTCAAACATTTCCAATTATCTAGCCACCATTCTTATGCCGCTGGTCAGCCATAACCCACACCATGTATGCAAGGCATTTGCAAATTAGGTCCGGAACCTTTTGCTACAGATGAAACCATAGTACCTTTCGACATCAACTGGCTTTTCACATGTATCTCCACCACTGATGTAGTCAGGAAATGACTCAGGTCAGGTCAAAACCAAACTCACTTTGGACCAGATGTGTAATCTATTTTAATAAATGTTTCTGAACCAAAAACATGGCTGTGCTATGGGTTCACCGGTCTTCCCTACTATGGCCAACATGTACATGGAAGAAGTGGAAAGAAAAACCCTGGACCCTAGAGGAACGAAGCCCAGTCTCTGATTTAGGTATGCTGACGACCCTCGGGTTAAGAGCAAAGACTGTGAAGTAGATGAGTCTTGCCTGAACACATAACTGGACCGAAAAAATCAGTTTCACTCAAGAAAGCATCGAAGACCATTTTTGGTCTGCCAAGTGTGCTCAGGTAAAAACAGAAACCTCAACATTTAGGTCTACCAACAACCTACTAACCTTCACTCTGAATCTCGTCACCCACTGGAAAACAAGCTAGGGTAGCACAGAAGATCCCTACCAGTGCCGTGTAGTGGGGAGTGCAGTGACCGCTACATTGTAGAGACCAAGCAGCTGTTAGAGGAGGCCTCTTTGGCACTTAAGTAGATGGGTGACTCGAGCTTGAAAAAGGCTTCACGGCCATGTGTCAAGCTTTCTGGCAGCCATTAAATATCTCAATTGAGAATATACAGTATTGTGATGGTTACTGTACAGCTTAGTGAGCTTGAAAAATTAAGAATCGACAAAAGTTCTCCAGAACTTTTCAAAAGGTGCCGTGACCTGGATACACAAGGGTGTGGCACAACATTGGCGAGCAGCTTCTTCAGTTCAGGAGTCAGAAGTTCATTTGCATCTCAAAGAGAAGGGACAGCCCTTTGAGGACAACAACGTCCACATTTTGGATCGGGACTGCTAGCTTGAAAGAGGTGTAAAGCGCTATCTCTAAGCACACTCGTTGCAATGAGCCGGCAATAGGGCGGATGAACAATCCGTTGATTTGCAGGACCGTCTTTCGCCAGCCACGATGGGCCACAAGAACAACACCCTATTGTGACCACTTGCAGGGGAACTCCTACTGATGGAGGCATAAATATCACACCAAGAAATTTTAGAACAGAAGAAGCTTTTCAGGTTAAAACAGAAATGTCTTTAACCAACAAGACGTCCAGTTGCTTGGAATCAACCTTTGCAGCTTATTGTGACCTAGGTGACTGAGAATCGACAGATTTATTTCAGTACAGTATTTCAATTCAAAAGTGAAATCCTTAAGACCATATCCCACTGAGGGGCGAACTTTTGCAAGGGAGCGAATGTTGATTTCTCATCAGTGAATGTTGATTTCTTCTCAGGGTTCATTCAAGGTCACAAACGTTCTCCAGACGATAGGCAGCAGCTTTAAGATCAAACTGTTGATGACCATCAAAACGTCTTTGCAACCTTGAACAAATGCTGACGGAAAACCAATATCCGCTACTTGTGCAAATATTTTTTGGTTGAATGAAGTTCAGTTTTGCTTTTTCAGCTGAACTCCTGAATTATATTTCTATATTTACTGGGATGCACCTGTTTGTGACTACATGCAAAAATATTATCCACCTTTTTAGTCGTTTGTGTCCATTTAGCACAAAAAATACGTGTAGTTAAAAAAAAAATCTAACAAAAAAAACAATTTAGTACAATCTATTTCACTGTTTTGATTATTTAAACTAGTCTACCTATATTAACAAATCTGTATGAAAAGAAATACACATAGATAGAGATATAGTGCATAATGCAAAAGGTCAGGAAATATATTAATCAGATATCAATACAAACAGAAAAAAAATAGCAGGAATGTTGGGCCCTGTTTTGACATAGATTGTGCAAATCGTCTTCCCATAAGTGGTCCTTCATACCCTGGCACGTTTCGAAGTTCTTTTCCAGAACTGACGTGAATGTATCGAGTCCAGTGTGCTTCACGAGGATGATAACAGTGTGCAAAAAAAAAAACATTTGGAGTCAAGAAAGTCATTTTGACCTCGTATCAGTAATGGTTGAGCTCTTCTGGAGGAGGCGGAAGGTGGTAAATGTCGTCTCCTCCGACATACGCGCTGATGCTGTTGCTCTGGCTCCCCCACTCATAACTGTCGGCAGCCAAACTGATACAAACACAAAAGGATGCCATTAAGTCAGAGGTGGACAAACTTTGGTACTTAAGGGCCACACTTGATTTTTAAACCGACAAATGGTTTCAAACTTTGATTGGATTATCATTTGTTTAAACATAACTAAAAGGGGAGATTGCGTTTTTATATTCAGAGGTGACGCAAAATCAGTGACATGTCTACTCATCAGGTTCGTTTATCACCTGTTTTCAATTCTTTATTGATAGCACATCCCAAACAATAAAACTTCATACCAATACATTTATTATCAATATGGTAGCATTCCATGATGAATAAGTCATACAACCAACGTAGCAGCTGTTGCTAACATTGGCTTGTTCACAGTGCTAATGCTAACTTGGTATTGCTACCAAAGTAAAGCTACATTTTGATCTGGCTAGCAGTTTTACAACTGCAACCTCCCCCTATCAATCAATGAGTTGAATTAGTACTTCAGCTAATAACATGCATTTTCAGTGCATTCTTTATTCACAAATAAATGAAAACAAATGGGAAAAAAAACATTTCAATCAACCAGTTTTAGGGAAAAAACTGCTCAATCAATCGGTCTCTTGAAAATGTACATGCTTGGTGAGCCGGAGCAGAACGGGCCGTGTGTCGCCTGCGCTCTATAATTTGTCCAGCCCGTGCATGACACAACTCTTCCTATTCCCACATTTTTTTTAAGGAATGATGTTTGACTTTTAGACCTGGCTTGGATGTTCTGAGGCATGACGCTCCATGCAAGGTCATCGTCACTGTCGTAACGTCGAGGGTTGTCAAAGAAATATGCCCTGGAGGAGAAGACATGACTAGGAAGCCCAGAACCGGTCTGCAAGACAGGATAGACCCACACTTCTTGTTTTCTTGTTTTTGCAATGAGTCATTACTTACAATCTGCACTTTCTTCCACTGAATGTCGTGTGGATAAACAACTTCCTTCTGAGGATTAATCTTCCAGTATTGCACAATGTAAAAGTGTCATCTGCTTTGTGGCCATGAACTTTAATGTCTGCAAGATGCAAAAATGAAGCAATGGCACAACCTCATGACTCACCCTGTCCAGGTTGGGCTGGCGGACTCTGAAGAAGAAAACTACGAGAGAAGTGGGGAGCAGCTCCCATACGAACAAGATCACCCCGAAGACGACGTAGCCTGTGTCGCCCAGAGTGGACTGTAAATCTGCCTGAAAGAAAATACAAACGCTGAGAATTTACCCAGTTTGAATTTTTGCTATTTGATTTTGCTTGAGCCTTACCTGGTCAGAAACATTGTACCAGTCGTAGTCGAAGGAGTTGATGCTACTATTGGAGAGTCCGAGGACCACCAGGTTGTAGCAGGCCCTGGACGTGTACAGGAGGATGACAATGGCTCCTATAGCGCTCACCTGGCACACCGACGTGCCCTGCGCAGTATCAGAAAGGACATAAAAACCAAAATGCCACTCGACATGCAACTCATTCGCGTTGTTAAGTTCCGCCTCTCATTTCTCACCTTGGATTCCAGATAAATGTTAGCGAGGGACATCTTGGCGATCTTGTAGAGACACAGTGAGAGCGAGACAGCGCACAGGACAAAGAGAGTGTCGTTGATGGCCACCCTGACCAGCACCACGGTGCGGGCGTCGGCAGACGACGTCCTCACCAGCATGGCGCACACCAGGTTGACGGCTAAAAACAGCACGCTCATGAACAGGAAGACAAGGTACAGTGGCAGCCTGCAGGGACACAGTGACAAAAGATTCACTTTGTTGTTCAGGCTCAGGTTCTTGCCCTCTCGCAGCAGTGTAGAAAGGGATGGCTATTTTGTACTAAACAGGACACAACTCTTTTGAGGGGTTTATTTTGCTCTGATGCTTCTCACATGACTAAATCCAAATGTAATGACTTACCTGTACCTCAGGAGTTCTGGTGCATATTTGGACTTGGCCTTGAACACGACCTGTAGTGAGAAAGAGTGAATGTGTACTGTAAATGCTTCACGTTGTCGTCATACAAACAGCAATGTTCAGCTTTCCATTCACATTCTAGCAAAAAATGAAAATCACCAAACAGGAAGCTTGCCGCTTTCCACTTTATACCACGCACATTTTCTACTCCTGCTAAGAATAAGCCTTAGCACACCGGGAAGCTATTGTTTGATATGCGAATTATGTAAGCAGATGAGGAATGAGTCACTCCATCACACCGAAAAGCTGATTGGAACCAAGTGTGTTATCTCACAAGCGCCTCGGTAGGATGACTGTTGTCAATACATTGATTAAAATAGAACCCTCAGTATATTCAATTTTTCATCAGTCAGGATGTGGACAGTTACACATACGGCACGCTACATTAGGAACACGTTTACAATCTAACGAGAGCCTATAAATTAAATATAGCATATTCAAGAGGTAACTGTGCCACTGGTCTAATTTTTAGTAAAATATTATTAATCAACTTCAAGCTTTAACATTGACACGCTACCCCCCCTACTACATACGAGATGTTTAATTGCTCAGGGTGGAATGGTACACCAAATTTGCAGTTCGGGACAGAGATTCATTTTAAATTCAAGGTTCAGTTCATGTTTCATATTTAGTACAGTACAGGAAGTAAATGCAAAACAAGCTCCTTATTTAACTACATGAGAGTAGATTTGACTACCTTTGTTTTAAAACATTTATTTAGGTGCCATTATCTAATTACAGGTTTTTATCTATTTTCCTATACTTACACGCAGCATGTTAATAACCATATATAAAAAATGTTTATCAGTTTGAACATTAAATATCTTGTTGTAGTCCATCCAAGTGATTATAGGTTGAAAAGGATTTGCAAATAATTGTATTCTATTTTTATTTACATTTTTTTACACAACGGCCCAACTTTTGTACAAGGGGCTGGTCATAACTTCTCAGTAAGCTGCAGTAATATTGGTTGTTAGTCACAGAGGATAAAGAATCTATGCCTGTGAGCATCATTATAGTAGTCTACATGTGTTGCTTCACCATTTGTGTTCATATATTTGATGCTTAGAGTTTTAATATCGCAACACTGATGGTTTCATTAACCCGTCTATGGCGTTTAGGATTGTTTGTTATAGCATTAAGCTAAACAGACTTATGTAAAGCAGAGCAATGTGGTTGTCTTAAATCCAAAACGTGTACTTCTCTTTGTATTATGGTTTGTTTGATAGTATATGGTTTGTTTCCTATAAGGGTTAAAATGGCAATAATCTACAAAGTATTTTTTTTTATTACTGTATTTTCGAGCTGGTAAATTGCTACTTGTTGCAAAGCGAGTTAAGCTGACTTCACTACCACCGTGCAGCGCCACCATGCTAACAAGTCAAAGCAAAAAAAAAAAAAAAAAAAAAAAAAGTCAGCCGAACAACAGCTCATATCTCGAAAAACAGAAATTGGGTCATTTGTTTCTCGAGGAACCTCTGCCTTGTTTTTTGATGAACACTCAGACCTACTATGCCACTGTCATTTAATGTGGCTCATAAAGTGAGTGGTACATGGAGTGTTACATATTTTTCGATGTGGTGTGTGTGAAAAGTATTACAACAACCAGTGTAAGGTGTTTCAAACTTATTGCCCCTTTCGTGTAGCTGTCGAAAATAAGAAAGCATTAGCAACACCTCTTGGTTCAACACAGTGCAGCTCTGCCCCAGTACAACCACATTAGACTGTGCAGGTGCACCAAAGCGTGCGTGCGTGCGTGCGTGTGTGGCTTCTTCCAGTCATTTCAGATCACGATTAGACATTTTGTCTGCATAACCCCTTCGCAAATGACAGCTTGGTTGCACTCACCTGTGCAAAGTAGAGGTTCATGAGGCTCAGTGTGAAGAACTGCAGGCACACGGGGAAGCAGTACAGCAGCCAGAAGGGAAAAGGCCCCAAAGTGTTGGCCGTCACAAAGTTCTTGAAGTAAAAGGAGAAGAGCACCGTGCGCAAGGCCGACCACAGCAGGCACAGGAACAGGAACACGGTCTGGTAGCTGAAGCGCTTGTGCCGGTAGCGCAGCACCAACCACAGTTGGACGTAGATGAAGATGAAGAGCAGCGAGTAGAAGGCGCTGTAGACCACCGTCAAACCCAGGGTCACGTAAGGGGGCACGGCCGGCGTGAGAGTGGGCAGGGGGAACGACTCCCGATCCCCCTCCGCGGGGGCCTCCATGAGCTGCGACTCCGCGAGGAGGAGGAGGAGGAGCCGGCTTCCAACAAGCGACCGCGTCAAAAGCTGCTCAAACCGGCGCAGCCGAAGCGACTCAACGCGCACGACGACGCAGTCAAGAGGAGGAAAGCGGCGGGGGAGGAACGAGGCTCACTCCCGGAGCCTGACACAATTGCAAGCGCATGGTCGGCGCTAAGGATGGCCGCTCTCTGTCGGAGCTGCACGGGTTGCGGCTCAGAAGCAGCCCGGGACCGTAGCCTGCTGCGGTCTCCCTCCTCCGCCGGATGGCTGTCTCTCGCTACATGGCACGCCCCTTTCGCGCTGACGTCACGGGTCGCATCAGCTGACGCACGTTTGCTGTACCTTTAACCCTGTCATGGGAGGCCCTCGAGCCGCAGCAAAAGGTTCCCCCGGAGACAAGTGCTGCTTTGCACGTACATTTAGAAGCAACAGCGTTAGGCCCAAAGACGATCATGCTCAATTTTCATGCTCTATTAATTCTGAATGATAATATATACAACGTAAAAAGTTAGGACTTAAAATGTTAGGATCGTCTTCAAATGCAGTTTTTTATCGTCAGTTTAACCGTTGAACTACAATGTTAATTTCCTCATCATGTTATTACACATAGGCAACAAATTGATGGATAATCAAATTTATCATCAGAATTTAAGGGCAATAGTTGTTCAAGTTTTTGCAAAAAGGAATCTGGCTAAAAAAATGCTGTAATGTCTGAAGAACTTTATTTATTACAAATATATTTCAAATTTTGGTAAATTTTAGCAGGAATAATGCAAGTTGATGCACCAGTTTTGTTTTCACAGGTCACATAAAATGATGTGGCCCGTGAATTGACACCTGCGCATACAACCTTTAGAAGTGAACCTAAAATGACCTTTTCTAAACATTTGAGTATATGTCCAACTGTTCAGTATTTCAGTACTTTTTGCCCCTCTAACAAAAAGCTTAAAGGCAAAATATTCACAGCAGGTGATATTTGAGACATCAAGGAAACCCATTTCGATGTCTCTCTGTGATGCTTCCAGTTTCTATATGTATCCTTATTACAACCTGCCAATGACACTGTGTGACAATATATTCAGTAGACACTTCCCTCTGACAACATCCTTTTCGAAGCTTCAGCATAGGGAAGTACTGTTGATCAAATGTTAGGCATCATCTTCGTCCAGGGTCGTGCGGTCAAGGCGAGACAGAGCCTTCCTGTCCCCTCCCCTGCACGTGAAGAACAAAAAAAAAAACCTAAACAAACCAAAAACAAATAATGATGACATGAAATGAGTTTCTATTTCAATTATCTGTTCCATGCTTTTCATTGATTTTATTTTTCAGTCCAATAATGTCCACGATTTCATCCTTAAAATGAATAAAATAGCTGAATCTCCATATTTCCTGTTGAAATAAATAGGCGATAAGGGAACAGAAGCAATGCACTTTCAGTGACACGGCGGCTGTGGACGCATGAATTGCTGATGCAGGCAGTTGGCGGGAGCCCTTACACAATTGCTTGTTGTCTTTAAATTGCCAATCCGTTTTCATCACACATGTACTGCACACACTGACGTGTTTCATGAATTTGTGTAACATATTTAACCTTTTTGGTCTTCCAAAAAGGCAACCAAAAGTGTATGATGTAGCCAAGTAAATTCCTTCAATTCATGGATTGAACACTGATTGTGAATTTTGCTGTTCAGTTTATTTTTCAGGTGTGCCCTGGGGAATGTTCCAATTTCATTTGATTTTTCCTTTCATATTCAATAAAATTGTTGTTGGTCAACTTAAAGCAAAGTATTTTTGGACATTATTTGTGGCAGTTGTGTGAAGTGGCAGGAAGAATACTTAAATGCTTCCACGAGATGGCAGTACAGGTACAATTACGTTAACCTGTCCGCCTGTTGCCACTCATGCCAGATAAGAATGATAGCTTTGTGTTCAATTAAGTAAGCTAAGATTTCACACGAAATATTTATTTATGTATTTATTTGTAGACTGGAACATGATAGTCATTATTCAGTGTATATACTTTTCCCCCCATATTTTTATTTGGTTGTGTGCCATGAGAAGTGTTTCATTGTCTATTGACGATTGTTTTGTTTTAATGTTTAAAATAAAAATTCAGTTACTTTAATATCTATATTTGTATTTTTACTATTGCGTACTGATCTTCCCAACCTAATGATTACATTATTTAGCAATACAGTAAGAGCCTTTTTCATAGATGCAAGATGCATGCGGTAATCTGAAAGTAAGAAGTAAGAAATATTTCAAACCACTCAAAATATGATTCAGTTTAAATTAATGCCAAAATGACCATGTAAAAGTGGCTTATCTTTGCAAAGGCAGACAATTTAATACAGAGTTTGTAATGGATTTTATCAAATTAAAAAGATTAACAAATCCACGTCCCCTTAATTGACAGTGTATTGTTCTAGCAGACATATTAACAATGACGTCAATGCAGCCTGAGCCTTAAATAAATTAGGGAAGCAATGATTGAGTCAGTGTTTAGATCATGCATTTCCTTATCTAAACTTTGACCGAATAGCAGCTGTAACCAAATGTGAACTCATAGATGTTATTTAGGACCAAATACAGAGAAAATGCATTCTCATCTTGGAGATTAAAGAATTTTAGGCATTGTGTGCCTCATACTGTCACAATCTGCTAATGTTTTCCTGAATAAAGGAATAAAATTATGAAAAGCTGCTCTTATATGATGCAGTTGTCGTCTTTGTACATTTGGACCGTGTCCCTCAAAACAAACATTCCTATCTTTTTTAAGGCGGACTCTGGATCAAATGCTGTTGTGCAGAATTGAGGCCAGTGTAAGAATTCATTTACAAAAAAAATGCAAGGCCAAGGTGCTGAATGTTTCTATCAGTCCATTGCTGTTCAGGGATTGGTATATTATACTTGACAGTTTATATTTTACCTAGAATTTTATGTGGAATGGCATGCATAAAGACAGTTAAAGCGGAATATATTTGCAACTTCCCTGTTACCCCTCATTCTTTTTAAACCAATAACTCCAGAAATTTTCAAGAAGTGAAAACAATGATGTTACTTCAGTAGCAGAGTTTCTTCAAACACAAATCACTCCAGTCAGGCAGAAGCTTGTATTAAACTTGTACCCATCCACCCATTTCATATTTCATCTACACTCTGTCTGTGATTTTAAACACGAAGAGCAAATTTTCAGTGTTTATCCCAAAAGACACGAGGGGGTAGAGGGATGAGACAACGACCCTTTATGTGGCAAAATTTAATGTCTGAATAGAGTTAAACATGAGTAAGGTTTGCAGATTGGTGACAAGAGTGGGGGTGGTTTTCTCATCAGAGGAGCATGTGAAAATGCAAGAGGCCAAAACATGAGGTCACTAGAATCGAACTTATTCATCACTCCACATCGTTGTGACACTGCACACACCCATTAAAGTCAACGAGGGTTCCATGGTGTAATGGTCAGCACTCTGGACTCTGAATCCAGCGATCTGAGTTCAAGTCTCAGTGGAACCTGGCATTTTTTTCGAAACGTCACACGACAAAGAGATGCACGTTAGCAACGTTCCCGCAATACTTTAAATTGCCCCGAGATGTGTAGGTGTGAATGGTTGTTTATCAATATGTGCCATGTCACTGACAGGTAGTCAGTCCTCAGCGTACCTTGCATCTCGTTCAGACTCGTCTGGGATATACTCTGACCTCCATGTGACCCCGAACAATTTTAACTGCGGAGAACATTTCTGGGTGGACGGCTAAAATGTTGTTTTCTCGCGCCTCCATCAGATTACCCACAATGGCCACATGATGGCACTGTTATACTATGCCAGCCATGGAAACGCGGGACAGTCGGTCCTGATTTGAATGAAACGGTAAAGAAACAAGTCCAATCAAAATTATGTTGTTTTGTTTTGTTTTGCTATGGGCGGCACGATGATCGACGGTCTGCTTTGCATGCTGGCCTCACGGTGCAGTGGTGCAGGTTTCAATTCCTGCTCCGGCCTCCCTGTGTGGAGTTTGCATGTTCTCCCCGTGCCTGCGTGGGTTTTCTCTGGGTACCCCAGTCTAACATTGAGCCTTTTGTAGTTACAAAACCTTTTGACTTCCATCTATTCACCCATCAACATTTTCCACACCGGTCATACTGCTCAGGGTCACAAAGCGGTGGAGCAGGGGTCACCAATGTGGTGCCAGCGGTGACCAGGTAGAGCACAAGGACCACTCGAGTATCCCGGTAAGCCTGATCTAACATACTGGTAATAGAGCTAACCAGTGAATGTGAATACTAGCAGAGGTATATAGAAAGTGCAGCATATTGATACAGTGTTTAGAGAATCGGTTTTGTAATTACGATGCAAAATCATTAAGTTGATCAATGTCTTCACAAAAGTGAATATAATTATTTTAATAATATCATACACTAATTACATTATTAAAGGTAAATTGTTGTTTTAGAAATGTGTATCAAATGTACAATTTCTCAACTTCAACAGTGCCTGTTGAAGTTGAGAAGATTTGAACAATTGTTTTCATTTTCAAGATATTATCATCCATCATTCAATTTTCTGTACTATTTGTCCTTAATAGGGTACCAGGTGGACCTCTCCTTCTTGTTCTTTTTCTTCTTCTTATTATTATCATTTGCCTTCTTCACCGATTGGCTGGGAGAAATCACATGGTTCTAGTCCCTTACATGAAGATTGTTGTATCTTACTGTAGACTATATGACTCCTTGCCATATAAAATTAGGGCAAAACATCCTTTGAAATACAAACTTTGAACATTAAGCTTTCAGCAAATGGGTCACATACAACTAACCTAAATATGTTCTGAACCATTAAAGTGTTGCATCATTTGCTTACCGAAATGGCACAAATGTTGTCAGTAATTTCAAAGAGCACTGATGAAAACCTTCTTCACCTCAAGGCTCAATTTCTTGTCATTCTGTCTCCTGCATAAACATATGAGGTATAAAATTCAGAAAGAAAATGTGGATGCAGCTGGGTCAGCTATTTAAAACAAAGAAAAAAAATATTTTGAAGAATGAAGCGATGAGGTCAAGAAGACAGACAACACATACAGGTCAGCTAGCATCAGATATTGAGACTGCGTGAGACGTATAAAGTAGTTCAGCGAACAAGATCAAGTTAGTGTTCATCCACAAACTTCAGTCAACCTTGCATGTTGAGTGCATACTGTGTGATCATAATATTTCAATCCAAGTGGCCGTCAGGTTCTGTTGGTGGTCACTGGGCCATGCGCTGATGTCAGTGCCCTGAAGGGCCTCTGGCTTGCCTCCAAATGCACTAATATGGCTTCAGTGGATCTCCACACAGTGGATCCTTTATTTGGATTCTTCATAATCCCAAACTAAAGTGGATAATTCTGATGTACAGTATCGGACATTACACTGTGATGTCACACATACTTCAGAATAGCAAAAGCTGGAGGTTTCCCTAATGGTACCACGGGTAAACACACCCTTACATATCATTTGAGGTCTCTTTTCTATTGAATGAGTGAGTGAAGTTGCAGTTGAAAAGATGTGACTCGAGGTGAATTGCGTTGATAAGAGACCAAACGAATGAGACATTTGGCTAATTAATTCAGCAGCTAAATAAAATGCCTCAACTTTGATCATGGTAGATGCAACCTAAACGCCAGCATAATACCATAATTTGTAAATGACCAAAGCCAATGAATGGATGATGGTGGTCATTTGAGAGCTAAACAATTTTTTGTACTTGGTGCTTTGACAACAAAGGAAAACTTTGATGTGAAACTCAAGGTGTTACTCAAGGTGTTTCTTTTTTTTTTTTTTTTTTAATCTCAGTGGGAGAAAATTCTTGAGGAATCTGCTTTTAAGAGTAACGTG